CCCTAGAACCCTAGAACCCTGAACCTTGTTGCGGGGTGGTGAGGGGCTCATCTCCAGGGATCGTGCTTGAAAGGCTTGGCGAAGAGGTCTCCAAGCAATTTCCGGCATCTTGCCTTACAGGTTGTTCAGCGATTTAGGGTTTGGGTTTGGGGTTTCGGAGGGGGGGGTGAAGTTTGTTGAAGTAAGAGGCTCAAGTGCGTCAGCTTCTTTCGAGGAGGTGTGCGCTGGTTGCGCCAGTTTCAGGGGGCTGAAAATGGCCTTTGCCGATCAGACCTCTCGGCTATTCGCGGGAGGTTTGTGACGGAGGTTCTCTTGCCTAGAGTTCATCTAGGGACATACGAAAGCCTCTGCGCTTTCAGCCGGGCACCTTGGCCATCTTTTAGCGCCCGGAATGTGCGGTTCGTAGGATTTAGATGTGCCCTGGCCTTGAGTCTCAGATTTAGGCCGCAGGGATTTGCATGTGGTTGTCTCAAAGCAGCTCCAAACAGGCGACATGAACCTTAAACAACTAAACTTCAAAGGTTTATCTTCTATCCTGTGTGGTTTCAGCCTGCAGGTCCCGCAGCCCCTGCGAGCGCATATTGGCATGTCTGATGGAAATCTTGCTTTGCTGTTCTACTGCAACTAAGGAATGCAGGAATGCTCACAATTGAGCATTCCAGACTCCAGACCTTAGCAGTGTTCACGCAAAACTGACGTAAGAGTGCTTCCCATGAATCTTGGCATATTCTTCCATCTCAAGGTGATGCTTGTCCCACACATTGTCTTAAAATTGGCCCAGCACACACATTCAAATCCCTCTAACCCAAAATTCCAGACGAAGACTCTTTACTCCCAAATCCCAAAGTTTGTTCTTGTTACCTCAGATCCTAAACCTCAACCCTTCGAACGCCAGCGGCCAAACCCCAAATCAAAAGACCAAAAGGTGATCCATGGCTTGCTTAACAATGCAGGCCGGAACGAGGGTACAACCAAATTTCCATTGTGGGTTTACAGAAATGAAAGACCCCAAAAGTATCCTCTAGTGTGTACTAGGCAGATATTATAAAGAACCCTGTAGCCCCTACTTCAGGGTACGTGGAGGGTCTGGGTAGACGCGTCTTGCGAGTTTTGGACTTGGAGTTTAGGGTGATTTGCTGTCCTAGAACACTTGTTTCAGGAAATGCAGCAGAATGGCCGTGTAGCGAACGTACTTTCTCTTGCATTGACCGTGGAAGTTCATGATTCAAGGTAGCTTGGGTTGTGTTCTACCAGAATATGCAGGAGTGTCTCCAACACCTCAACGCCAAACAGAAAATCCTGCACCTACAGGGACATACGGAGATCCTTCGCGGAGCCTAGGCCCCCAATAGAATCTTGAGAAGAGTCTGGGTTGCTGTTAAGGAACTTAAATTAAGTTACCATAATGGGTATATATAGTAAATAATAGGGTTTCCCCAATATAGTAACTTAATCTAAGTTCCTTAACAGCAACCCAGGAGATCTTTGGTTTATTGCAGTGAGGTCAGAGCTTCTCAATAGGTAGTGATGGAGACTGGTCTAAAGACTCATTCCTACAGAGTCCCCGTCACACATGGTCATGGCGATGCATTCTGGACCACCTGGTATACCTGATTTTTAACCAGTTGCAGCGCTTGTGGCAAAGTTGTTTACACAGCTTTCGAGCGTGTAAAAAGCCGAGCGCTTCATTTCATGTCGGTATGAACCAGGCTGCGAGGCATAATCCATTAATGGCAGCGATGGATGATGCCAAATGAGAGGGCAGCAGCAGTTGTATGTTTTCGTTACATGCGTGGGTGCCCTTTCAGTGTCTCCATGCCCTTCCTGCCACAGGCCTGCCGCACCATGCTAAACCGGTACATCCTCATGGTTGCCTGACACAGGCACATTTGCTGGCGACTACACTGGCAAGCGAAAGGTCACGGCTGAGGGCAACGAATACTCGCCCTGACCTTGGCTCTATTTCAGACTCCCTGCCCAGCATCATCGTTGTGCTTATATCCCCGATCAGCTGAGCGAAGGCCATTTCCAGCGCCTCACCGTACACCTCGGAAGACATGTCCAGCCCGAAGATTAAGTACTGTATTAATTCTGCGTCTTCATCGCCACATACGCCGTGCTTAGTTTGCCATCGCCTAAGTTTTAGATCATCCTGCATGCAAATGGTTGGAAGGCTTCCAAGGGTCCATCAAGATCCGAGATTTCGTGCAGAGCAGAAAAGCAACGAACGATTCGGAATGAATATGAGGAAGTGAGAAGGTAGGAGATAGCGAGAGCAAGCAAGTCAGGCGAAGAATGCCAAGCATGAGATCAAGGGAGACATGTCCCACGATGCTACACTTCGCAAGAAGCGAGGGCAAACTTTCAGACAGTGAAGCAGAGTTTGGTGGCAAAAAAGAGTCCGACCCTAAACCCGCAGCCTGAAGCTCTAAACCCCAAAGCCTTAAACTCTAAACCCTGAATCCTGGGACCTCCGCAGCCAGGGTTGGCGGGCCCCGAAACCCCAAACCAGGTTGGCGGTCAACGTCCTGGCCCCCTTCTTGCTGACTTCGCTTCTTCTGGAGAATGTTCGCGCCTCCGGTGCAGGCAGGCTTTGGGATTGAAGTCCCTTTAGAAGGCTTCTAGGGATGGATAGGGCTATAGTGATTTGTAGGTGGTGGATTTAGGCTCCTTTAAGGTTGTTATAGGGAGGGGTTGCAGGTAATGTAGGGCTCAACGCAGTGGGAGTGGGGTTTGGTTTGTTCGAGGCTGGCTTTAGGGCTTACAGGGTTTACAGGGCTTTTAAACTTCATATGAGCTATAGTCTAAACTCCTCAAAGAGGGGTTATATAGGGCATTATATAGGGGACATAGGGGACTACTATAGGGTATATTAGGGGGATACTAGGAGTTAAGACTATGGCTCATATAGAGTTTTTCGGGCCCAGCATAGGGCTTCAAGGGTCAGCACCGACATAGTGTACACAGATGACCGGGTTGGCGCAGAACTAGCGTAACTAGCGGTTAGTTTTTGCGGGAGTCCTTCCTTCCCGCGGGGTCCGCCGTTTTTGCAGTCCTGACGCCAGCAAAGGATAGTGTGGGTCTTTGAAATGCTTGGGTCAGTGTTAGTTTACACACGAAAGGTTGCAGAGCAGCCGCCATAAACCCCAACCCTCGCCAACCTTCGGGTTTCCGAAGGCTGAAAGAAACTGGCAACTTACCTGGGTTTATGTAGGGATTATGCTGCCTTAATCCCTACTAACACCCAGTATATGGTAATGCCTTCCTAGGAGAGGCTGTCCTCTTGTCGGCATTGCTTCGTTTGCCGTAGCTTGTGGCTTCATTGTGTGCAAAAAGAAGATCTAGCTTCCTTCCCTCCTGCGCTTCCTGAGCAGTAAATATCCCTTGAATCATTGAACTTTTAAGCCCACGACCCTGAATCGCAAAATCGCTAGAGCCCAGACTAGATTTGCTAAAGTACTTCCCCTCAATTCGTCCTCATCTTTCAAGGGGACCCATGTTCTTTGGAGCTTTTTGAATTCGTCGGAAGCCAGGCCGCATCCTAATCACTTCCTCGATTTCTGCTGGATCAAACGACGCCAGGGATGCGGAAAACTTCTTCGGGTGATTGTTAGCGTTTGAGCTATTGTCTAAACTCCTTGAAGGGGGTTATATAGGGGATTATACAGCGGTCTACGATAGAGCTTATTAAGGGGGATACTCAGAAGTTCAAACCACAGCTCATCTAGGGTTGGATTTGAGATCCTTTCACGCTTCTGAGCCTACATGTTTCCTTACTTGCTACAAAGGAACCTTGTATCTTTATAGAGGAAGAGGGACTACGGACCATCTTTATAGGCGTATTTCTCTCATCAGTGAAGAATCATGCAATGCTCCCTGTGCTTGATCACTGGAAAGAATATGTAGGGACGGTAAAAGATTCATCTTGCATTTCCTGCTAAGACCTTCAGGTTAATATCTTGTGTTTGACATTTGCTATAAGCGATCTACCGGGGTCTGGATGCAACTTTGTTTGTTTGTATTCTGTAGGGATTAATGATTAATGGGGGAGCATAGGAAGTACTGCAACGGCCAAATTAACTAGAAAGGCTCTCAGGAGACGGTATATAGTAGACATACCGCGATTATGCAGTAGTAATGCTAGCAATTAATCAGGGTTTAGGGTTCAGGGTTTAGGGTTAGGAGGGCCCCCCAAACTGTAATAGTGGTATAACAAGAATATAAGAAGACCCGAATATAATCCCTATTATCCCTTATAGTCACTATTACTGGGTGGGGGGTCCACCTCAGTTTAGGGTTTCAAAAGGCTCAGGCCGCAAGTTATTCAGTACGTTGGACCTCGGCGGGTTTGCATGTCATGTTGTAATTTTTGGCTCTGGGTTTAGGGTTTAAGGTTTAGGGTCATGATTGGAGATGATGTGTGGCTGGAATATTACATTACAAGCCCGATGAGGGATGTAGAATCACAGGTTTGCACCCTTGACCCTTAGAACTTCTAGCTTCTCCCACCTTCGAAGGAATATACAGCTATGATGCATATTACACCTTGTAAGGAAGATGCAGCTATGTTTTATATTACACCCTAGAATGACTGGCAAATCTAAGTGGCACAGAATTATACCCCCGCAGGGTTCAGGAATGGAAGCTACAACGGAAACTACACGATTCTGTGCTTCTAGCCTGGGGTATAGGACTGGAAAAATGAAAGCTACGACGTTCTTTCGATTTTATCAAGCCGGCTGCTGCTGCTATGATTGCAAACAAGGTTCTCACTCGTATCTCTGCTCCTTTTAATAGCGTACGCAGGACTGCAAGAGCTCTATAACCACTAAACCGTTCCGGGGGAAGCCCCTAGACTCCAAAGCCCTACTCCCAAACCCAAGCCTCAAACCCTGAACTCTGCAAGTTTACTCCTTTCATCTGCCAGGGCGAACTCTTGCTATGTTGGTAGGTCTCATTATCCTGTCCTTTGTTGTCACCATTACGTCTGCATAACTGCAAATGAAACAAATGCGGTTTCGTCTACATATTCTCGAGACCTCTTGAGCAAGGAACATACTTCCAACTGTACTGCGCAGAACCTACTTAGGTGTTTTCTGGTACCACATCGCAGTACAGTTGGATGTTGGAAGTACCTCCCCATTGAGAATCCTAGTGTGATTAAGCGGTAGGTGTACTCCTTACTTGAGGGGTGTTGGCCTTTCTGAGCATAACTCAGAAGGCAGGATACTGATTAAGGGTCCTTGTATAGTTATCAGGGCAGTCTCAAAGCAAGATAACTTTCTAGCAATAGCTGCGTATTGCCACCACGGCAAGGGTAAAAATTGGGTTTAATCTTGGAGGTGAGAAGATATAAGATTATGCTATAACCATCCTCCAGTGCCCAATTAGAACTTGATAGTGGTACCCCTTTTTTTTGGAGTTCCCAGCAAAGCTGCAAACAATTATTCATGAACCTTTTAGCAAGCCTGAACAGCAGGCAAGCCACACGGATTAGACTTGGTTTAGGGGGGTGCAGGGTTCACGGCACAGGCCTCCAACTATCAGCCAAAGCCGCAAACCTTCTGCAAGCACCTTGAGCTCCCACGCCCAATCCTAAACCCCTTCACCTTAATGCCAGAACCCTAAACCCTACATCATTCTGGATGCCTTGCACAGGCCTTGTCCGACCTTCAATGTGAAAAGCATTGGTCCGACCACAGAGCCTACGAGCTCAGCAAGCTTTGCGAGCCTTGCTTCTACAGGCTTAGAGTTTGGGTACGCTTGGCATGTGAGCCAATCCCCTAAGGCTCCGAGTACCCTAACCCTGAGAGGGTCCAAGGACCCAAATAACAGGGTTTTAGGGGCCAAATACTAGAATATTAATGGTACTTGGGCCCTAAAGCCCTGTTATGTAGGTCCTTGGACCCTTAGGGTAATGTTAGTGGGTTTTTGGGCATAGCTGGTTTGAGTGGCAAGCTTGAGCTTTGATGTCTGATTCCTGTTGCTTGTTGGGGTAATATGAGGGTTATATTGGCGATATATAGGGATAATGGAAAAGAAAATAGAAGCGGCTACTATACTGCGATATATATATATATATCTATAGCCTCAGGCCTCCGACTGCAAAATCGCAGGATGCAGGAGACAAGCTACACTGATTTGCAGACTTTTCCGCATGGAGGTCAATAAAGAACCTCTGCTGGCCACTAGCAAATTCGTTTGCACCGTGCTGTAGGGCATGCTGAAGTGAAACGAAGCATGCGCGCCTGTTTGCTGGAGAGGCTCTGGCGCAACTACTTGATGGTTCTGCGGCTTTCAAGGCAATTTCCTCTGAGTCATCCACTCTGTAACTACCCTGCTCAACATGGCATCCCTAAATCCTGTATTCGGAACCCTAAGCCCTCACATACCTACATTTTCTGATGATTCAGCTTCTGCGGGCTCAGGACGCTATGATCACCATGGAGCTTCATGCACGTTACGGAGATCCCCCGAGGCCAGTGTGGTTCAGATGTGAAGCGCTGGATGCTTCGGACACGCAGGGGGTTGCTTCCCCTGACAATGACTGCTTGGCACGTAGCTAGCAGCTAGCAGCTAGGACCTTAGACCCTTAACCTTTTGGGGTTCCCATACGTCCCGACTATGGGTACCTGAAACTGAACTCTTAGTCCGGGTGCGAACTGCCATGGTGAATGATGGACATGACATGATATGTTGAGACCCTAAAGCCTAAACCGAGCCGGCTTGGCGAAATGCTTGGGCTCGCTATTTGGCTTCACGTAAAGGATGCAAGTGCCGAGTTGTAAGCCTCCTCAGCAAGCGCCTACACATGGCGATGCTGCTAGGGGGTAGGAGTATAAAATGTCAACTGGCCAGTTTTACCGGCTGAATGGAATTCTAAGCAGGCCAATGCTTTGTTGCTGTTGTTTTGTGTCCGTAAAAAATTGAAGAGGCTGTGCTTCCACACCATGGACCCAGGCACAGTGGATGCTCGGACTGGTTGGATGGGATGGATTTTCTGGGACGTGTTGGGTCAGCGGCACGAGAAGTAGCATAAACACTGTCCTGTCATCGCTGTAGTGACTTCCTTTCTTTCAGAACTTCCATCGCTTGGATGCCGCAATCCATCATGATGCATGAGCGGGCAGTATGCTTTGGATATTACTGCCACGGTGACTTTATAAGGGCCAGCAACCTCATACCCTGAGCAAGGTCCAATGTAGGACTGTTCTGCCCTAAGCCCTAAACTTTCAACTCCCGAACAGATGGAAATTGCATACGGCCAAAAAGCAAAACAAAGGACCTGCTCAAATCTTGGGAGTTGAACCCTACACCATTTCTGTAAACCCTAAATGTTTCGCCCAAGTTTCTGATTTGGCTTTGTCTGCTGCAGCAGCTCTTTCGAAGGGCTGGTTGCAAGTTACTTCTTCGTTTCTTTGCTGCACAGCATTACACTTGTTCTAAGACTCCCCCTCAGTAGAATTGGCTACGAAGGGAAAACCCCAGTATGAGAGGGGGTCCCATACGGATTGGAGATCAAAATGCTCCCCCAGGACCTAAACCCTAGACTCCTAGACCCATAAACGCGACCCCCCAGGACACCAAAATGCTGCGAGCAGGGTGGGGCTTCGGAGGCGCACCCGCAACTTGGCAAGGGTGTAGGATTTAGGGTTTAGGGTAACCCCCTCCCAGATAGTTAAGGGCCGCCCCCTTTGAAGAGGTGTATCGGGGTACCCTGGGGAATGGGAAAGAACATGGTTAGAGCCGCTAGTAACCCCCCAACATTTAGATACGACCTATATATTCGAATATATCACGACAGAAATCAATAGTATATGGCGGAATTTTGGGGTTGAATGTTTGGGGGAGGCGATTAAGAAGGGGATCCGGGTTATCCCAGCCTGGGAACCCGCAATTCTTTTGTGAGTTTGTAGGTCCTTCTTAAAAGCGCTGGGGAAATCAAAGCCGTTGTCATTAACCAAGAAAAAGGAGCTGCTGAAAGTCATGAGTTAGCCTCTGGCTGCTGATCGAGACCTATCTACATCAAATACCACTGCCCCTACATGACCCTGGGGACTAGATGCCGGACTAAGGTACGTTCGGCAACGACTTCTTTCGAGATGCTCACGGAGGACTCGGACTTAGTCCATGGTTTGAGTGTTCCTGGTTATCGGGTGATTGGCTTTGGGATTGGGAACCCCAAAATGTCCAAATGTTGGGAACCTCCCATATGTACGCAATAGCAGAAATGAAGGAATGGAAGAGAAGATTAAAAGGATTATACCATAGGGGATTGCTTGCTGTCTTCTGCAAGGACCCATTCCGGAGGTAGTTTTTGTTGATTTCAAAGAAGGACCCTGGCATGCCTTGTTCTAATAAGGCAGGGAATATTTTTTGTGAGACACTCTGACTTTTGAAGGCTTGTAAGGAGGAACCACCCAAAGAAGACAGTCCGGAGACAGATGATCCTGAAAAAGGTGTGAGCCACAGAATTTCTAAGCTTGTTATTTTTTGTCTCGAGGTCAACGCCTGTGAACACACATCAGAATCACTGAAACATCTACAACCCCTGAGCCCTACTGTAACCCGTAAGTCCTAATTGAGTCCTAGCCCGTCGGTTCCCCTGCCACTCTCAAGGACAAGTACCAGACCACGTCTGGCCAGGGGAATGGCTACTGCTGTGGCGAGAAGGTAGGTTTGTTGATTTTAGGATTTTAGGATTTTCGGTGCCTGTTGGGATAGAATCGGGTTTCGAAGTATGTCAACCTATATTTCTAAGGATTACAGGGGAAGAATCTTTCTAAGTAGCCTGGCTTCTGCAGTAGGTTCCACCTACCTATCTTGGCTTCAAATTTAGGTTCCGCTCACCATTTCCGAGCCTCATAGGAGAAATACCATATAAGCGCATTAACATCGCAACCCATTTTCTAGTTGAGCTATAGTCTAAACTCCTTAAAAGGGGTTATATAGGGGATCAGATCGGGGACTGCTATAGGGCTTATTAAGGGGGATATTATGAGTTCAGACTATAGTCATGCGGCAGTATGATGTACCCTCAACCCAAAACCCTTGAGGTCAGTAGGCAGGAGGCTGGGACTTAATGTTCTGTATGTTGGTATGCGCACATTCTCACTGGAGCCAGGGGGATAGGGTTTAGGGGTTAAGGGGTTTAGGGTTAAACCCCTAGGGTTTAGGGCTGCAGGAGGTTCAGGGGCCACTGACTTTAGGGCAAAGGGTTCCAAGCATTGCGGCAGCCAGCAAAGCTCTTAGGGGTGGGTAGTCTCAAAAAGTCACAACCCTTTTCCCGGGGGGATGGCTGCTAGGATTTTGGGATCTGGGTCTGATTGCAAGAGACGCAGGTCCGTGGTCCTCTGCACGAGAGAATCCCTTCTGCCTCGACTTTGTTTCAGGGAGAGGGGAGGGCATGAAATCCTGCATGCAAGGGGTAACCCTGGACAGTGAAACTTCGTTGGCGCAGGAAGCATCTCGCAAACGGCTCTGGGACGAGCTGGTGACACACGGCAGCGTTCAAGGAATATGGTAGTTTCCCTAAGTGAGGGAACCCCAATATAGACCCCCAAATTATGATGATCTTAATGGCAAGGGTTGTGGTGTATACTTCAAATCGACCGGGTTGGGTTTGCGTAGCATCGCCTTAATGTGCTTTTTGTTGAGGGCTTTGCTGTTTAATATACCGAAAGAAGCCAATTCATGCTCTCGAAGCCCTCACGGGCACTAGGTGATTGCTTGTTGTAGTGGCTTCGGCCACGAAGGTGGTGGTAGTAGTCGTCGGGGTACACTTGTAGGAAGCGGCGACAGTTGTAGCAGCAGCCCCGTAGCAATGGTATTGCGAAGTCGTGAGGAAAGCAGGCTCCGCCTGAAGCACTGAAGTCTGAATCTTCAAGCGAGCCGTTTTCCCAGCAGAGACTTCACGGGATAGATGCAGAAGGGTTGAGGAGTCACTGCCTCCAACTTGAGGCATTGTATGTTCAAAAAGTGGGCTCGTCACTTATCAAGACTCCCTACCGCGTGGTCACTGCACTGCCATGGCCTGCAGGACCTTGCACCGGATCCCCCAGGACTTCATTGCCACGCCCTGCGGGTTTCTAGGGTTCAGACCTGTCATTCTCGAACCATGCAGACTTGACACAGAAGTTGCTTCGCGCAAGCTACTCACAAGCAAGGAAGCTGACCGACGCCAAGTACCCCTGAGAGCTACGCTTCAGAGAATGCGGTTCGACTGGCCAGATGTCAAAATTGAGTTCAAGCTGCAGATGCGCGAATGCGAAGCAAAAGCATATACTGTAATGTCCTCTTTTTGGTTGTGGTCTTTCTACAAGAGGAAGTCAGCTTCAGCTGGTTCAACCACGTAAAACGCTACGCAGTTGCAGGCGCGGCTCTTCCAGCATGAGTACGACCATTTGGACGGTGTCGCGGGGGGCCTGGTTATTGCATGGAGAAAGTTAATGAGTTGGGAGTTTAGCAACTACCCCGTCCGAAAAAGACGTGACCCTCCGGGATCCCCTTAAAGTCCCCAATAATATCCTAGGGTGCCCTTTGGACATGCCTACCGTCCTACATCTCAATCCCTGAACTCTAGCTCTTTTCAATGAAGCAAAAACCCCTGAGCTTCAAACCGCAACACAACATTGAAAGGATGGCTTTTCCAAGAGAAAAGTGTGCTGATGTCTGTTTTTTGCAAGGCAAGGAGGGGATTATTATAGTCCCCCTTAAGTAGATAGAATGTGGGGTATAGGGGGATCTTATTATAATGTACCCAAAGCCATATTCTATCTACTTAAAGGGGACTATAACCTCTCTTGACCCCGCAGGATTTTTAGGGGTTTGAGTCGTTCAAGAAACTTAGGGCTTTCAAGAGGAGGAAGTCAGGGCAGTCGGGATTAGGTCTGACGAGTGTTGGGCAACGGTTTGTTCCACTATTAGTAACCTAGGGGCCTCATCCCCCTAACTTTAGTTCACATGCAAAAGCTAGAGTCCTAACCTCTGATTGACTCTTCGCAAGCGCATCCATGCCGTGATTTTTGCTGAAGAAGATGTTACATGGGGAATCGGCACTCATCATATTCTGGCGATGTTTCCAGACAGGACACTGAATCACAAGTCGCAAAACATGAGTAACTGGCCTTGCACGAAAGCACGAAGAGAGTGCAAATTGCCCATGCTTCTCAACTTGAAAGCAGAGGGTAAAATAAGGGCGAATCGTCGGATAACTCAACAAAGGGACTGGGAAGACTTGAAAAGCCCGAGCATTTAAGCATCTTTTGTGGCCGTTCTTCTTGTAAAGATTTTGAATGCCATTTTAGATTCCCTAAATAGGGGGACCCAATATAGACCCCCAAATATTATAATCCTCATTATGGGGATCCCCAATAAGGTGCCCATAATTTTGGGAAACCCCCATTTTGCATTCCCTATACTTAAATTGTGTCCCAGGTTCTTAGAGCACAGGGTGACGCCCTGGAGCTCGCCACGAAGTTAAGAAGTTCTTAAGTGGGGCGCTGTTAAGGAACTTAAATTAAGTTACTGTATTGGGGGAACCCCATTATTTACTATATATATATACAAATTATGGTAACTTAATTTAAG